ATGGATGGATGGATGAATGGATGATTGGGTGCGTGGGTGGATAGGTAGGTGGATGGATGGATAAATGGATGGATGATTAAGTGGGTGGTTGGGTAGTTGGGTGGATGGATGGATTGGGTGGGTGATTGGGTAGTTGGATGGATGGATGGATGGATGGATGGATGGATTGGGTGGGCAGTTGGGTTGTTGGGTAGATGGATGAATAGATGGGTGGATGATTGGGTGGGTGGTTTGGTAGTTGGGTGGATGGATACATAGATGGATTGATGATGGATGGATGGATGGATGGATGGATGGATGGATGGATGGACTGGGTGGGTGGTTGGGTAGTTGGGTAGATGGATGAATAGATGGATAGATGATTGGGTGGATAGTTGGGTGGGTGGATGGATAGATGAATGGATGATTGACTGGGTGGTTGGGTAGGGGGCTAGATGGATGGATGGATGGATGGATGGATGGATGGATGGATGGATTGAGTGGGTAGTGGGTAGATGGATGGATAGATGGATAGATGATTGGCTGGGTGGTTGGGTAAGTGGGTAGATGGATGGATGGATAGATGAATGGATGGACTAAGTGGGTAGGGGGTGGATGGATGGATAGATGGATGGATGATTGGCTGGGTGGTTGGGTAGGTGGGTGGATGTATGGATGGATAGATGAATGGATGGATTGAGTGGGTGGTTGGGTAGGTGGGTTGATAGATGGGTGGATGGATGGATGGATGGATGATTGGGTGGTTGGGTAGGTGGGTAGGTAAATGGATGGATGGGGTGGGTGGGTGAATGGATGGATGGATTGGGTGGGTACTTGGATGGGTGGATGGATGGAATAACCACTGTAGAGCTCAGAAGCAGTGACATGAGTTCTGGTCATTGTGAGGACAGGAACCGAGTTCTCAGCACTCTGCATTCAGCCTTTCCCTGACTGCAGGTTCTGCGGTGAGAATACTGGATTAACCTCGCTTTCTCTCTCTTAGATACAGTGAAAGGGACACTGAGAAGCTGAAGGCATGCCAGTCCCTCCACGGGAATGACTGGAAAAAGATTGGGGCAATCGTGGCCCGGAGCAGCCTCTCAGTTGCCCTAAAGTTCTCCCAGATCCGTAACAGTAAGTGGCCCATCTAATGTAATACACTCAACAGGCTAATGGCTGCCCCTGACCAAGGCAGGGTCCCTAGATCACCCTGGCCTGTCCTCTGAGAGAGCCACTGCTTTATATGCCAGTCTCTCCGCTAGTTCCTTTCACTTTCTGCAGTCAGTAAAGCTCACTAGACTGGTTTTGACCACAGCTCAGTTCAGTAACTTTCAGCATGAGTGTAACTGCCACGTGGTTATCCAGTCCCCTGGAAGCTGCTGGAGGAGGTCACTTCCTCATGGTGCCCGGAGAGCCTTTGGGAGGGAGGCGTGTGGTGATGTGTGCTAGGCACAGTGTGGGCAGCCTCCTGTCTTTTTTTCTCTTCTGTGAAGCTCTTTGGTTCTGTTCCTTGCATCAAAGCACCCCAAACTGCTGCCTGTTCCTGCCAGTGGGGCGTGTGGTGCAGCATTCCTTCTACTCTCCAAGCAGCAAAGCAAAACTCTGGAATTTAAAACAGAATCTATAGACATCTTTTTTTTCTTCCTGGAAGTCTCTTGATGTTTCAGCATTCATCTGCATTGTTACTGAGGGAAGGAAGTGCCGCTGTGGGCCAACCACAGCCCTGTGCTCTCCGGGTCTGCCCTCGGCCTGCCTGCTTGTCAAGAGAGGAAGGACCGGATGCCAGTGTTTTGACTCCTTCTGGGTGGCTCAGAGTCCTCAGGGACCTTCGTGTCAGCCCAGGTGGCTGTCCCTGTGGTTGGTGATTTGATCCTAGGAGCTCTTTGTTGGGAGGCAGACATGTACATAAAACAGACGTCCCTGGATTACTTTTTCCATCACATATTTGGGAACTTCACAGAGTCCCACAGGAGATGAATTCTATTCTCTCAGAAACAAGAAGGACAACTTAAAAAAAAAAAAAAAAAAAGAAGGACAACTTTTTTAAAGTTAAAAACAAAAATCAAGAAAGGACTTTTCTCCCTTCTAGGGGTGGAACCCAGGGCCTCAGGCATGGTAGACAAGCACTCTACCACTGAGCTCCTTCCTCAGCCACAGTGTCTGGCTTTGGTTCTTAAAAAGGCCCTGTGGCTGCTTTAGGAATTTCATGTTCATTTGTATCTAATTATATTTGATCATTTTATGTTTCTGTAACTGGGATATCGCCCAGTGTCTTCTAAGAAGTGTCCGCTGTATCATTTTGGTTTTGACCTCATATTTGAAAGCAGTTAGAACAGCCACTACAGGGTCATCCTTTTATATCTACAGAAAGAAATCATGGTGTTTGGAGTAAGGAAGAGACCCAGAAACTCATCAAGGCTGTCGAAGAAGTGATTCTGAAGAAAATGTCTCCGCAGGAGTTAAATGAAATGGATTCCGAACTCCAAGAAAATCCTGCCAGTCGCCTGTCAATTGTTCGGGAAAAGCTCTACAAGGGCATATCGTGGGTAGAAGTGGAAGCCAAGGTGGAGACCAGAAATTGGATGCAGTGCAAAAGTAAGTGGTAAGTTTTAAAGATTCTATAAACTCAACGGCAGTCCATCTTCCTCTGGCGTGCGTAGAGTAGTGGAGCGCTGGGATTGCTGGGACTCCACGTGACCACTGTGTAGAGCACTTAAACAGCAGAGATCCCCCTCTGGTCTGTTAACCCAGCTGTCTCAGTATCAGCATCTGATCAAACGAGCACATACCTTGCTCTAACCCAGAGATATGTTTGTTTGGTTGGTTGGTTTTTTGTTTTTGGTTTTTTTTCTGGTACCAGGAATCGAACTCATGACCCAGCCCCTTAACCCAGAGATATGTGCAGGCCAGGCTACAGGTAACAGGGTCTTCCATACTAGACTATGTGGCGTCCTCTTAAAGAATTTGAACTATTTTAATTCTGAAATGGGCTTCTGATTTCTTGACTGCATCTCTATGTCTTTAGTAAAATAAAATGTTTATCTGTTTGCACCATTTGAAAAAAAATTATGTGAAACTGACACTCAGAAGAGAAGTTTTACGCATCGTGGTCGGTGTAGTGCTCCCTTTTTTACGTCGCTTTCCAGTGTGGCAGCTCTCTGTCTGCATCTACAGCAAGGCAGTGTTCAGAATAAAGCAGGATTTTGAGGCCTCACACGCAGCTGCATCCCTCACACGGAAGTAGTTCCAGTCCTTACCTGGCTGCACGGCCTTTGCCTGGTGTAGCTTCCCAAGCCCTGGAGGGACGCTGCCTGGATGTCCCCCTGTGGCCTGACTGCCCGAAGCAGTGGCTTTGCACGCTCTCAACCCACATCCCTTGCACAAAGGGGCTTAGTGACCCTTGGATATCCACTAAGGAACTCGGAGGAGAGGCTTATTTTACATTAAGAACTAGAGTCCTAGATTATACTGCTTATATATTTCTCAATTTTATTTAAGGTACTTGGGCTCTTTGATGTTTTTGTTATTGTTTTTAGTTTTTGTTTTGTCTTTGCAGGGACTAAACTCAGAGGCATCAGACATGCTAGGCAAGTGCTCTACTACTGAGCTACGTCCCCAGCCCAGTGTTCATTAGTGACTATGCCCAGGGAGAGAAACTCCAAAAGACAGAGTGTTTAGAGTGGGGTGGGGGTGGGGGTGTATACTATGGGGCAAACAGAGTCCTTTCCAGCTCTGCATGTCAAGCTGCAAAGGGCTATGAGTGAGCCTCAGCGGGAGGGCATCCACTTCTGGGAAAAAAAAAAAACAAAAAACTTGTTCTGTTTTAATGGGACCAGTACTTAATGGGCCCTTCAAGCAGACCTTTCCTTTAGGCATTAGTTTTGGAGGAGTCATTGGGTCCTTTACCATGCTACTAAATTTGTTCTCCTTGGTATTCTAAAAGCTAGGAATGGTAGTAAGAGCCAAGTCCATTTGTCTTTATAAATAAAAGACATATAGGGGCTGGGGATTTAGCTCAGTGGCAAAGCACCTGCCTGGCAAGTGCAAGGTCGTGAGTTCGGTTCCTGGTTCCGGAGAAAAACCAAAAAAATAAATAAATAAATAAATAAGTAAGTAAAAGACATATAGAGCTGATAGCTTTTTGTGTGTGTGTGAGACAAGGTCTCGCTGTGCAGTTCAGGCTGGCCTTGAATTCACTATGTAGCCCGGGCTGGCCTCAAACTGACAGTGACCCTCTGTGCTACCATGCCCGTCCATCCCTTTTCAAAAATCATTAAATTTCTGTCGTCTTATTTATTCCTTACCACTTTTTTTTCCCCAAATAGTAGGTTCTTGATGTTGGTAAATGAGTTGGAAAAGTGAGAAATTGTTTCTGAATGAGGGCAATTTAGATGAGAAAACTTGAGGAAATCTTAACAAACACTATCCCTAAAAGTAAAGTATATTTTCCATTCTTTTATCATAGGACAGAAATTCTAACCAAGAGGATGACTAATGGTGGCTTTGTGTACCGTGGCATCCATGCTCTGCAGGCCAAAATCAACCTGATTGAAAGGTACAGAAGTGGAAAACGATGCTGGCACAGCAGAGACCTCAGGGTCGCCCCCAGGGTTGGATCTGCGTCCCAGCACCCTCCACTTACGTTGCTGTTGACGTGTGACCTCCCTTTCCAAGTCCCCATATCCTCGTCGTTTATGAGGGTAACGGAAGCAAGAAGTTAGCTACCTCTTGGTGTCACTGGGAGGAGGAAACGAGTCAGTGCACGTGTAACATTACTGGCCACGCAACTGATGCAGTTCCTGTGCCCCGTGCAGCTTTTCCTGTGGATACGTTATTTCTGTCCATTGGAAGATGGAAGCTGATCATTTGGACAGAGCCTGGCTCGGGTGCAAGGCTGTCTCTACCCTCGAGGTCCTCTCTGGAGCGTTCATTCCCAGAGAGAAGGAGATGTGAGCCTGCCTCATGTTGCCCAGGTGACGGCACGGGCCAGAGGCACTTGGCACCAGCCAGCCTGTGCAGCTTCCTGCTCGGCCCTGTTCGCCGTCAGCAGTGTGCCTGCCTCGTCCTTTCAGTGGGGCTGGTTTTACCTCTGCCCAGTCCACCCTGCTGGAGAGACTGGAGAGACTGGCAGATCTGGTGAGGGCGTTGCCTGGGGACATGTGTCCGGGGATCTTGAGCCAGTGACCAGGTCTCTCCCCTGTGTCTTTCTGTAGAACAGGGCTCATCCCTGACCTTGTCAGATGGGATTGAGGGTTACTGTAGTTCTTACACAGGTCTGTTGAGTAGTAAGGGCTGAGTCCAGTCACACTGTTACTCTGTGTCCGTGCCTAATGCACAGGTGGCTTTCCCGCCCATCTCGGTAGCTCACACCTGCAGTGACCTTGTGCTGACTTCGGGTATGCTGGACATGTACGGTGAAGGTCCCAGCTTTTGATACTCAGGGAGTCTAGGAAGAGGCCCAGCAGGTTGCTTTTTGCTTGAAATTGTTTTTTTTGTTTTTTTCTTACAGGTTGTATGAAATAAATGTGGAAGATGCTAATGAAGTAGATTGGGAAGATCTTGCTAGTGCCATAGGGTAAAAGCATTTGTTTAATATTAAGCTGACAACACAGTAGAGATGGCTTTTAGTAAATGACCTCCTAGCTAACCTTAAAAGACAGAATACAGTTCATGCTGCTGCTTGTGGAAGTGTAGACGAATAATAGTTCAGATTCATCTGTTTGCAAGAAAACCAATGCAATATAATGCGGAGTAAAATGCCCTGCAGGGTGTGGGTGGTGCCCACTGTGGGCCCCACCACTCCTGTCTGAGAAGTGCTCTGCGACACCGCCCTCCCTTGACAGCAGTGAGCCACTTTTTAAATATGTGACATTTCCGCTAGGTTTTCATATACCTTGTGACATTGCTTCAGACCACATGATTTTTTGTTTTTTATTACTGAAATTAGTTTCTAATGACTTTAAGATTTTTAAAACTGGGGCTAGGGATACAGCTCAGTGGTCTAACTTGTGAGAGGCCCTGGGTTCCATCCCGAGCACCGCCACCCAAGCGAAGATATTTGAGTCTGATTATTATAGTGACAATTCATAAATTGTAAAGTTGTGCCACAGAGATCTCAGTGTCTAGTCAAGTGTGGTTTGAAATGCGGTGTGTTCACAGTTTGGGCAGCAAACTCAGACCGGCTGGTGTGCAGCTTCATGTCCCGTGTCTTAAGCTCCTTACAGCGTCCTTTGTAGATTATTCAGGCAGGATTTGAGAATAGCACTTCCACCTAATGAGTGCTTCGCCTGCTTCGTTGTAAAAATCCAACTCAGTTGCGTCCTTTCGCAAAGCCTGGGCCTGGTCTGCAGAGCACTCTCTTCGGAGTCGGGCAGAGCGGGCCCCGACCCAGAATCACCCTCGGTGCCTCCGAGCCTTGGTGTCCTCTGCACGTTCTGCAAGGACTGCAAGAGATGGCATGTGAGACTCTCAGTCTGGTGGTGGCACATAGTATGTGCTCAGCGGGGTGCTCTGATAAAGAGGTTAGGAGAGTCCGGTCATCTCTTAGCTATATGCAGTTAACAGATAAAATTATTCACACTGATCATTTTAACAACGGTACTAGTTAATTCTTGGGGGGAAAGTCAAGTTTTTGTTAAGAAAAACTATCCAGATAAATGAGTGATTTTTACTTTAAAAAAAAATTTAAGACTTGGTTGACCAGCCAAACATGGTGGCACACACCTGTCATCCCAACACACAGGAGGCTGAGGCAAGAGAATTGTCACAAGTTCGAGGCTAGCCTAGGCTACCTAGTAAATTCAAAGCCGGCCTGAACTACAAAGTGAGACTTTGTCTCAAAAAAAAATGTACTTGTTTCTGACCTACCCATTATTAATTTGAAAATGTTCTAAAACATCATAGACATTTTTTAACTTTGCAGAATAAATCCAAGAACATCTGCCTTCGAGTTGTGGGCAGCAGGAGTGTATCTGCAGGGAGCGGGCGCTGCGGCTCCTCCCCGTGTGGCTGTGCCCGTCTCCCATCTCCAGGAGAGGGGTTGCGGAGCAGCTCCCTCCGGAGTGCGTGTGGGTGGAAGTGATCACTGCGCATGACAGCTCTGGGGCAGCGCTGTGCACAGGGCAGACAGCAGCAGGTGTCAGCTGCTCTTAGGCTTCATCTTTTTGACTGGAAACTTCAGTTGTTGGAATTTGAACAGAACTAACCCTGTACTACTGATTTTCTTTCTCCTATGGTTTTTTTTTTTAATTTATGTGTTTTGTGGGTAGGGATTAAACACAAGTCTTCCTGCATACTAAATGCACACTGTATGTATGCCTGAGCTACATCCCTAACAGTAGTTTGTTTTAGGTATCTTTGGATTTTATCACATTTATGGACATGATGACTTCCCATCCAGGCTGCAAAAGCTAAATATGCCAGTAGACCTCAACTTAACAAATGTACTTACTGCACAAGTAGTGACAGATGATAAATTGTCGTGTAAAGGAGAACAGAAATGATAAACTTTTAACTGACACTTTTTTTAACCTTTTCTGTTCTAAAGTGATGTACCTCCGTCTTATGTTCAAACTAAATTTTATAAGCTGAAAGCTGCCTGCGTTCCCTTTTGGCAGAAAAAGACTTTCCCAGGTGGGTATTCTAAATAGTTGTATAGTTGAGAACACGGGGTTTGGTGTCATGTGCTGGTTGTCTGAGTCATTTCCGCTGTGACTCAACGTCATAGAATCTGAGCTTCATTAATCAAATTGGCAAATTACAGTCCCTATTGGTGGGACTTTCCAAAGGCCTGCGATAGCGAACGTGGAAAATATGGTCATTGCAGTGTTGGGTACTTAGGGACCCTTCAGTAAGGAACTGTGCTATGCATGCACATAGCCAGACGCACCGTTCCAAGAGGTGTCAGATGCCCAGTTCTTCTTGTAACCATTTGTGGGTGGTTTGTATGTGCATAAGTCCTAAACTCAGACCCTTAGAGCAGTATGAAAAGCTATTAGAAATCTATAGTCCTGGGTCTCATCCCGAACCTACCAAATCCTAATATCCAGGCAGACTCTAGAGTCTATATTGTTCTCTAACAAGCTCACAATGCCACGCATGGTGGTGTACACCTGTAATCCCAGCACTTGGGAGGCTGAGGCAAGAGGATTGCCACAAGTTTGAAGACAGTATGGGCTCCATAGTGAGTTCAAGGCCAACCTGAACTACATAGTGAGACCCTGTCTCAAAAACAATCAAAGCTCACAGCAAGTCTCTTGTGGTCTGCATTGTTGTACCAACTGTGTGATGAAATACTGCTTTGCCTTCAGCAGGCATGACTGCCCTGGTGTGTGTGGTGGCTAACTCCATGACCTTGGGCACATCTCTTAATGTCTTTATGCCTCACTTTCCTCATTTGAAAACTGGGTTTAAAAAAGTGCATAGCATATGTTTTGAAGATTGGATATCTCTGTAGCATATGTTTTTGAAGATTGGATAAGAATATAAGCAAACCATTAGGGTCTTGCACATGGCATTATCAAGAGTCTATATGCTTTAAAATGGATAAAAATTTAAATTTCTGTTCCATAGAGATCATCGACTACCTTTATGAGACTAGTTTACCTTTGCTTAAAGAAAAGTTACAAAAGAAGATGAGGAAAAATGGCACCAAAATCCAAACTCCTGCAGCACCCAAGCAAGTTTTCCTGTTCAGAGACATCTTTTATTGTGAAGACAACAGTGAGGGAGAAGATGTGGAAGAACAGAGTTAAGCAAAGGTTACTATTTCCAGTGCTTTCAATTGGGCCATATTTATAGACATGTGTCAGTGTGTGAGTCAGCTTGCCATCACCATAACAAAATACCTGAGACCATAACATCTTACAAAGAGAAATGGTTTATACCAGCCCATGGTGTAGGAGGGTTCCTGTCTGTGATGGATTGGCTCCTTTGCTTTGGGCCTGTTCCAAGACAGTGTGTGCTGGATCAGATGGCAGAGAAAAACCACTCAGCTTATGGCCAGGAAATGAGAGAATGGATCCCTCAACGGATCCATGCTCTCTCGTACCTGTCGTGGGGTGCCCCTCGACTTCCTAAGTTGTATTCTCATGCTCAGGGGCTGGGACTGTTCACCCAAGCTGTCGTCTCAGAGCTTGTCACTGGATCTGCCTGGTGTTTAGCCGAAAACCAGATAAAGCCAGCAGTCTCTTCCCTGCGTGAGAAACACTGGCTCCATCCAGCTTAGTGGAAGAGGTTGTGCATGGCCCAGGCACACCTCCTGTTGGGAGCCAAGGATAATTTGAACCATGCTCACTGTCATCAGAGCAAAAGCACGGGAGAGATTTCAAACACAGGAACTTAGTATAGGACATAGGAGTACAGGCACAAAAGTTGCAGATGGGATGAAGGAGCCTGCAGGGGAATGTCGGATCACCCAGTGGTGGGGAGCTGCCCCTGGGGCCCCGCATGGCTGCACCAGTCCCCGTGTGCCTCTCGCTGCTCCGCAAATGCCAGCCTGTCTCCTGCTGCTGTCCTTGCTGTACCCTGCACATCTGTGTCCCTTCACTGCCACTGCCAGCACAGGAACCTGTGTCCCCAAGAGCCCAACGGCTTCTGCCTCCTCCTCTGTTCCAGCCCCCAGGACCTCGCACGCACCACCCCTGGCAGAATCCCGCTGCAAGGAACTGTGGGAAATAAGGTCTCAGGCTCCTGGGCTGCGTGCACTGGGGAGAGCACAGGAACATCCCAGACAGTGACATCACCCTCATCAGTACCAAGATGCAACTCCACTGTCACCTGGCTGCCCTCCGATGGCATTTACGCAGCACTGCTGTGATGTTAGGAAATTCAGGTACAGAGCTAAGCATGAACCAGATCTGCCACACAAGGGCGAATACGAATGCATATGGGAGTCTTGCTCCACTCTTCCCCAGTGCCTCTCACAGTGTTACGCAGACGATAGACATTCAGTAAATACTGGCTTCTTGATAAGTGTGTCTCCTGTAGAGAGCACCTTCTGTCCCTCAGATGGCCCCGTCTCGGTGCTGATGGAACTGTAATGTATATTCCCTTTGGAATAGGATAAGATACATCAGAGCCTGGAGAATGTACATATTGTATGACTATTATAAAGGAATAATAAAGTTAATGTATAAATGGGATGTTTATAATACAGAAAAAAGTAAGTGTCCTTTCATAGGAAATGTGTTAATGGTATTTTGGAATATTATGCAGTGATTAAAAATGGTGGTAGATTTGATTGACGTGTGAAGGTTAATAGTGATTGTCAAGCTAATTGAATTAAGAGATAACTAGGCTGATATGTGAGAGCTGCACTCTTGTCAGTCAACTCATTGATAAGTTCTTAGCTGAATGGACTACTAGGAGGTGGAGCATATTTGGAGGAAGCAGGTCACTGAGGGGATGACTTTGAAGGGTATAACTTTTCTCAGGCTCTTGTGCTGCTTCCTGGCGTCCATGCCATCAGCAGCTTTCCTCCACCAGGCCCGTCCACCACGATGCTTCTGCCTCACCACAGGCCTACAGCAGTGGAGCCAGGTGACCATGGACTGACACCTGAGACCGTGAGCCAACCCTGCTCCTCCAAGCTGTCTCTCAGGTGTTCAGTTACACCAGTGAAGAGCCGGCTAACGTGAGGAGATAATATTTCAACTGAAGTATTTCAAAATATATATTTTCTAAGTTTTGTAAAAGAATAAAGGAAATTTATTACAGAAGCATTAAAATGTATTAAATAAACCCAAAATGCCTGCAGTGCTTCTTTCTCCACATTCATAAGCTAGCACTCTTCCGGGTTTTTTGTTTTTGTTTGTTTGAGACAGTCTTGCTATGTAGTCCAGGCTCAACTTGCACTCACTGTGTAGCCCAGGCCGGTCCCGAACTTGCAGTGATCCTCCTGCCTCAGCTTCCCAAGTCCTGAGCCTATAGACATATGCCTCTACACCCTGCACAAGCCAGCACACTTGATTGTAGCTTCCAGAAAGGTGGATGCCAATGGCCCCAGGGAATCTGAACTCTCAGAACTAAAAGGCTGCCAGGTGTGGTGGCGCACACCTGTAATCCTGGCACTCGGAAGGCTGAGGCAGGAGGATTGTTGTGAGTTTGAGACCAGCCTGAGCTACAAAGTGAACTCAAGGCCAGCCTGAACTGCTTAGCGAGATCCTGTCTCAAAAAGACAAAAAACAAACAAACAAAAAAACCTAAAAGGCTAAGGATAGGGCTGGTCTTAAGGGAGAGTGAATTCAGCCCCCCCCCCCAGGACATGGCCCTTAGCTGATTCTCTGCAGGGTCCTGGCAAGGTGGTCCTATGGGCCCTAGGACATGAGGTAGCCACACTTCAACGGTTTGCCTCTTGCCCCACCCCAGGATAGGAGAGAGGGTCCCTCCCAGCAGCTCCTGAAAGCCCTGGGCAGTGCTCCCCCTCAGACCCAACTGACTGTCCCTGTAGCCAGACCAGGATTGGCCCAGCCAACCTACTCCAGCTAGTGTTGGATTAGCCGAGAGGGTAAATGTTCCAGTGGAAAATCAGGGTCCCTGTAGCAGAAAAAGAGCTGAATGAGTTCTGAGGAAACAACCCACAACTGTGCATGTGTGACAGTGTGTAATTATTTGAGCTATAAATTTAACCCAATAAATTTATGTGCAAGTACTTTGTAAAGTGTGCAACTTTTCTCACTTGTCTCCCCTGCTTCTATCCCAGCACTCAGGAAGCTAAGGCAGGTAGATGGGCCACCACGAGCTCTAGGCCAGCCTTACCTCTGTAGTTAATTTGAGACCAGCCTGAACTGCATAGTGAAACTGCTAGGAAAAAGGAGAGAACAAAGATAGGAGCTCAACAGGCAGGGCAGGTTTATTTGGAGCAAACCTCAGCGGGACGCTGGTGTGAGGACCAGAGCAGCATCTCCCATATGGGCTCTGAGGTCTTTTACAGCGTTGGGAGCACAGGGGCGCTGTGAAGGAAAACATGGAGTGAAAAGGCGTCGTGCTACCTGCTAGAGACGAGGCTTGAGAAACGGGGTGTGGGCACTGTGGGGAGCAGGGCTGGACAGCGAGGGGAGTGACGGGTGGAGCCGTGGCTGCTGGGCCCCGTTGACCCGTGAGTCTCCATCATTGCAGCTGTGACAACGAAGGGATGGAGGAAGCTTACAGTGGCCTCAGGTCAGCCGAGGATGGCTGCGGTTGGAGTCCTTCAGAGACCCTGTCTCAAAAAGAAACAGCTGCCGATCTTATCTTTGCCAACCACACTTTGTGTATGTGAGAATCTCAGAACTAGGAAGACAAGCCAGGCAGGGTAGACCATACATGCAGAGGGAAATCCAGCAGCCTGGGGGCCGGAAGGGGAACCGGAGTGTGTTTGAGGATGTGTGGAATCGGGCCTGGGGACGGGCAGGGCAGCAGGCGCCCCCTCGGGTACGGAGAGCGAGGAGCCTCGCTGGAGGGTCAGCTCACTGTTCACTCCGGGAGGGGTGGCTGGCTCCACAGCCAGGCCAGGCCCAGGCGAACAAGCCGAGGAGGGGGCTGCAGGTGGCACCGCACTGGGGAGGAGGCAGCAGAAGAGTAGACTCAGGAAGTGAGCAAGAGTCAAAACAAAGAGCACCCATCTCACAGGAAACAAGACCGCAGCAACAGAAGGCTTGTTTTTCAGCAGCCTCAAGCTGGGTGTGGTGGCACATGCTGGGAAGCCCAGCACTCCAGGAGGCGCAGGCAGGAAGACATTGCATTTTCAAGCCCACTCTGGACAACTGAGCAACGTCAGAAAGCAGCTTTCTTGTCCCTCCAACAGCCAGGCACACCAGCCTCCATCATGCCTAGGCTGATCCCTGCCTGTGAGCCCTGCAGCCTGCGCCTTCACGCCTTCTGATTTTGGTCCTCTGCGGATCAGGCTCCAAAAGAGCCAGCCTTCTGTTCTGGACCCTTGTCACTAGGTAGACAGACAAGCTCATGTGTCTGTGAACGGTATCAACATTTCTATCTCAGTGTTCCTCAAGGCCTCATGTGTTCATAAGCGGGGCTTTGGGAGGTGATTGGCTCATTGGGGCATGACAGTCATTAGTGGATCCTGTGCAGTTAGGAGGCGGGGCCAGGTCAGAGGAGGCAGTCAAGGAGGCGTGGCCTGGTCATTGTGGGCGTGGCCTGGTCGCTGGGGCGTGGCCTGGTCGCTGGGGGCGTGGTCTGGAAGGGTGTATCTCCCGCCCTTGCTTCTCCCTTCTCTTGCTGCTTCCTTCCCACCGTCCTGCTCTGAGCAACAGTCCTCGGCTGGCTTCCGCCGTGCACCGCTACCTACCGTGCTGTTCTGCCTTGGAGCTAGCGGACTGGACCAAACGTGAGCCAAAATACGCTCCCGCTGTGAGTAGGTGTCAGGTATCACGTCTCAGCGATGAGGAAAGTGACCAAGACATCGGTCATACATGGAATCAGTAGCAGTTTCTGCAGTGCCCTCCTGCTACATCCAGTCTCTAAACGTCAGTGATCCTGAAGCTCAGACTGGCACTGTTTTCAAATTCTCCCCATGCCTGGAAATAGCATCTGTGTGCGCACGACTCCCAGTGTACGGGGAGAGGTCAGATTCTCCCCAACAGCAGGCTCCAAAGCTTATCTGCGCAGTTGCCTCCTCCACAAGCGTCTTGCATCTCAAGCTTAACAGACTAGTTTCCTGATTCCCCCCCACACCTGTCAGAATCTGTCACCTACGCCCAGGCTGCCTCATCTCTGCCAGTGATGTCATCCGGTTCAGAACCTCAAAGTCACTCCTGTCTCACCCTATCCCCCATGTGAGCACAATCAGCCCCATCAGTTCCACCTCCAAATGCACACAGGAATCTTCCCACCTCCACTGCCACCTCCCCTGATCTCAGACGTCCTTGCCCAGGTTCCCCTGAGCTCCCTGCTTCCACAACTGGCCCTTCCCCAGTCCTGCTCCCCACATCTGCAAGCTCAATCACATTGCCACCCAGCTGAGGACCTGGAAATGGTTTCCCACTGGAGTAGAGCAATATTCAAACTCAGTGTCCTGGGAACTTCGGAGTTTTTGCACTGTCTGCTGCTGCTTATCTTTCCGACCCTGTACCAGGTACTCTCTGCACCAAGATTCTGCTGCTTGAGTGAATGAGCAAGTGGATGAACGAATAGCAGGAAACACCCACAAGCCTTTGCAGGTGCTGTTTCTGGGCTAGAATGCTGCACATTTTTGCAAGGTTGACTTTCTTAATTGGGTTTCCATTCAAATGTAGTTTCCTTATAGAGTGAGATTTTCTGACCTCCCCCAATATTGACTGGAGCCCCATGACTTTACATTACTCTCTGCTTGCTTTTATGGCTATAGCCTTTATCTCTATCTTTTTTTTTTTTCCTCTTACCTGAGAAAACAGAGGCAGAGGCTGACTTGCTGCTGACTTGCCGCATCCCCAGTACCTTGCACAATGTCTAGGTCAAATGGATAAGTGGAGGGGAGGAAAGAGGGAGGGGAGGAGCTGGGTAGACAGAGAAAGGTCAAATAATTACAATTGTGGTGAATGCTACTAAGAATTATGGCCAGGCCCAACCTTAGGGAGAAGGGAAGAGAGTGGCTTTTTTTTCTTTTGGGTAGGATCCATGTCTATATAAGCAAGTTGAGACATCTAAAATATCAGCTTTTAAGCACATTCTAGTGGTACAGTTTCATGTGACCCCTCAAAAGAAATAATTCCCTGGCCAGGTGGAGTAATCTGCTCAGTAGCCCACCCTCCCAGAGCCAGAGCAGGCCACAGAGCCCTGGAATGATCCCCTCTGTACCAGCACCCCCTCCCTGAGTTCCTTGGAGCATCTGATCGGCCCCATGCACAGGAAGTGGCATAGAAAGATAGAGCTTACCCCAAGGCAGGACAGTGGTGCTGTTACCATACACAGGTTTGAGGGGCTTACTGCCCAGTGGAAGCCAGCTGGTAGAGGTGTGAGGTGAGTTGTTTTTTGTTTTTGTTTTTGGTACTGGGAATTGAACTCAGGACCTTGCGCTTGCCAGGCATGTGCTTATGCCACTGAGCTAAATCCCCAGCCCAAGGTGAAATCTTCATTAAGATGAGCTCACTGATCAGAAGATGGCCTCACTGTTGTCCCTAATGTCTCGGTTACTTCCCTCTTTGCTGGGACAAAATGTGACACCCACAACTTAAGGGAGGAGAGGTTTATTTTGGCTCACATTTCAGTCCATAGCCACTGGCTCCGAGGTAGGACAGCATGGCAGAGGGATGTGGTGGAGGAGAGCTGCTTGTGGCCTGGCAGATAGGAAGCAGAGAGAGACATCAAGGAAGGAGCCGGGGAAGAAGATGCCAGGTGTCACCCACAGTGACCCACCCCTTCCGACCACCTACTTCCTAACTCCGAGTCAGCTCTAAGCCCCCATAACCAAGTCACCTTCCAAAAGCCCCATCTATCAGCACACAAGGCACCTGCAGCACTTCTAGATGGAAATCATAAGACCTGAGCACCATCTTTCCAGGAAGCCGACTTAGACACAGTTTATTGAGGAGATAGCTGACTGCACCCTCACAGGTGGAAGTTTGTAGCCAAATGATGCACATCTGGTCCTCGTGGCCTAGTCACAGATGATCTGCAGTTCTGCACATCTCAAGAACAAGATCAGTATTTCCAGCAACTATCCCTATTACTCATTAGTCTGCCCACATATGTGCAGTTCCTGACCTCTTACACAAGACAGGCAAAGGGGCAGCTGCCCCGATTCTGCCAACTCATGGTAATGGAACCAGGCTACCCAGAGGAAGCATTCTGGGATGCCTATGTGTGCAACCCAGACACTTCTCCATGTCCTTACAACACGTGTAATAGTTTAGATCTAAAATGTTCCCCCAAAACGCCATATTCAGAGGTGAGACTTTGTTGGAGATGGTTACTGGGGTGACCTGGATGCATTCTTGTCCTTGGCTCCTCCCTTTGTGCTCTGCTTCCTGCTGCTGTGCAGTGAGCAGCATTCCTCTGCTATGCCATTTCTGCCTTAAAGCCAGAGAACCATGGACCAAACCTGCGGAAACCGTGAGTGAATATGAATCTCTCCTCTTTAAGTTGTAGGTGTTGGCTC